ATTCCACTTACGAGCTAAAATGATTTCAATCTTTGACATGGTCAACAGGACATCGTCTTTCATAAAATTTGGATCGGTGTACTTTTGAATCTCGTTAACTATACGAATTGAATATACACACACACATACAGTCATTTAAAATACTACAATAATCCCATTCTTACCCCTCGACAATAATTTACCACTGACTGGACGCTTTTCAGCTGTCGACATCGCAGAGTACAACGTGTACAGCTGATCAACTAAATTCTAAAATAAATAAATACGCACACACACACACACAAAATTAATGCAACTGTATATATATGACTAAACCTTTTCTTGTTCACTTGGTACATGCTTCTTCACAGGCTTATTAACTCCAAATACTAAATGTTCTAGCTCACGTAATCTATTTTCTAATACTTCAATTTGTTGCATATTGGCAAATTATCTACAAGAGTAAAACATAAATGAAAACATTTGTCAGTCGACTACTTATATTGCAAAAATAGTAGTTAGTGTTAGTATGAGGCAAAAAAATACTTTCCTTCACTTAAAATTCACTGCTGTTTTAATCAATGGGAATATTAGTGAAGAACAAAAAGGATACACATCAAAAGATATCATAAACTTATCAGGCACATTTAAGTCCTTTATTCTTTCTTTCGGAAGCAATCTCGTTTACCTAACCACCTACCAGGGAAGCATCGTTTCAACTACAGGCGGACGGAAATAATGAGGATATCAAAGCACGAGGATCGAGAAAGCAAGGCAAGCTTTCGTTTCTCTCAAGCCTTTGTGGAGATCAACAGCACTCACCATGAAAATGAGATCCGGATTTTCAACTCCAATGGGAAGTCAGTGCTACTTTATGGATCAGAGACTTGGCACCGTGTCATGAAGAGCACCTCAAACAAACTACAGACCTTCATCAACAGCTGTCTTCGCTCAGTACCACTCAAAATCAGACAGCCGGCCAGAAGAGATCAGCAATGGGGATCTCTGGGAGCAAACCAACCAGGAACCGATTGTGAAACAAATAGGCAGGAAGAAATGGAGATGGATTGGCCATACTCTGAGGAATCCATCAAGTGACATCACTAGACAAGCCATTGCTCGAGTGGAACCCGAACGGGAAGCGGCGAGTTGGTCGTCAGTGCGAGGTTGACATGGAGGAGGTCATGTGAAGAGGAGATGAAAGCATGTGAGCCAGATGAAAACGTTGGTGAAGAACGGAACGCAATGGAGACGTGCGGCTGAAGCTCTACGACGTTCCTCTAGGAGCTAAAGGAAGCAATAATAATACTAATAATTCTTTCTTTCGACAAATTCAAAACACTATCTTTTACCAGTTCGCTATGCTAGAGCTTCACCAACCATTTTTCTGTTACGTGATATGGGGAACTAGACTATGTGAATCAGGTTGCTGTTAAGAGGAAGATAACAGAAACACGTTAAATGATTAGAAAGCTTGGGAAGTGAAACTCCAGAAATGCCATTCCCTCCAAACCCTGGTCGCTAGGTGTGCGTTTATAATTTCTCACATGTTGGCCTTGATGATACAGTTTTGCGAGTGTATATTATTCCTTGGCACTAAGTTTTGTGATAATCATGTGACATATTTCATCAGCTGAGGTAGTTGAAAGTTTCAAAATCAATACTTATCGATTTTTGCTATATCTATATGAATACCAAACGGAAGTTAAATAGCTTATTAAGCAAAAAAAAACACAAGGTAGTCCTGGGTAAGCTGCGGAAGGAATGAGAATCTAATTATTACTAAACCGCATAAAGGTGTGTCTGGAGTGCTAATCATGAATTACACAGAGTAACCCAAATACGATGAATGGAATAATGTGAGTGATCACAAAAAATGTCATCTTCTATTAATCCAAGTGATGAAAAAAGACTTAAACAACAAGGTACCATCATAGAAGCTTTATGCGAATTGCTCAAAATTACGGGTACAGTTGAAGTGTGTGCTACTGACAAAATTTTTCAGTAGTATATAAAGAGAGTAAAGGAGAATGATGCTCAGGAAGGCTTCGTGTGCTTTTGAAAGTGTGTGGGCGGTTGTTACTTCCCGGCTCCCCACACCATGGAAGTTGATTGATTCTCCGGATACCTGAAACATAAAGAGGGTTAGTATTGCGTGACCGCAGAGCCCAGGGGACAACTGCTTGAGGCCAGTCACACACGGCCTGTATGAACTGGTTTCTGGGATTAATTCCATATTAGTAAACTTACCGCCGGTTACGCACCACCGTAGGGTAAGTCGGGATGTACAATTTTTGGAGTCGACCTTTTCTAAACCCCGTCTCTCCGGAGTGGAGAGACAGCATAGCTGGCATTCTGGTCATCTGAGGGAAACACCTCACTGCTGTTACACCCCTTTTCCCCAGCAGTATGACTTCGCCGTCAGACCCCCAGCATAGTGTAAAATGAAATTCTTACACTATTCCGGTAACTGCTTTTAGTCTAATCGCTATCCTAACAACCTTCCTGGTATGACAGGACCTGCAGGAACAATAGTTCCAGCCAGTGCAGCTTGTTGGGTCATCGCGATGTGCAAGCCCGACCACCACGTCAAGGTAGCAGCTATCGGTCGGGATATAAAGAGACCTTCATCACCACACAAAAACATCAAGCAGCAGGCTGATACACTTGACATCATAGCGAGCAAATGAACCAGTATTACAGTGAAACACAGGAGACACGAAAGGAAGACAAAGAAAGACAATACAAAGGGCAGAAGCAGTACAACACGGAAGATCTGTGCAGATGACAATTTTCAGATAAGGTGTACATAAATAAACACTCCATTAACAAGTCTCTTGTCTTCTGCTGTTACACAGTTACACCAAGACTATCATCAAAGACCACAAGAAAATTCACTCTACCATACATGAGGAATATCTCTGAAATAACACAGCCAGAATACTGAAACCGTTTGATATAGATATAGCACACAAACCAGTAAAATCGCTTAATTCGACATTATGCAAACCAAAAGATCCAACACAAAAAGCAGATAAAATTAATACCATTTACAAAATGAATTGTATGGACTGTAACAAACATTACATCGGCCAAAGTGGGCGTCCCCTTCGAATCAGAATCCAAGAACACAAATCAGCCGTGAAAAGACATGATATGTATTCTTTAGTATCAATGCATACAGACAATTATGGTCATCAGTTTGATTGGGATCATGTCGAAAACTTAAAGAGAGGAAACACGAAAAGTGCCAGAGAATTCCTAGAAGCCTGGTACTCAAGCGAAAATGCGATTAACAAACACGTTAATATAGATGAAATATACCAATTAATAAAAAGTGTGCGTCGGTGGCATAGCGGCTAGGACGCTCGCCGACCATGAACATGGTCCGGGGTTCGATCCCCGGCCACCGGCGCACTCCTTTACCTCGCTAATCCACAACTAAATGCTGGTGAAGAGGAAAGGTTGGGCATGAGGCTAGCAACCCCATCCTGTAAAGTAAACACTGCTACAGAAACTTCAAGACTCTAGCTTGAAGCCCTATGTTCCACTGGGAACGTGAAGGAATAAAAAAAATTAATAAAAAGTATATCAGGTGACCAAAAAGTTTAAAATCCAAGTCAATAGAAAGTGGTCAATACATATGTAAAGATAGTAACCAGGAGACGCAATTACATCACGCATGAAGAAATTTAAATCACTTCACTTTGTGCTAAATATGGCGCTGAAGATGTTGTCCAGGAGAACGACGAAAGCTTCGCAAATAAACCAACCAGCTCAGAGAACACTTTTAATTGCAAATCATCCACCTGAGCTACAAATCTTCTCTATTACACCAAGACTATGTCGGCTACCAAGTCTATAAAACTGGTTTGCCACTTCAACCAGTGTTAGACATATCCTCATATCACGCAACAGTAAAATGGTTGGCAAAGCTCTGGCATAAAGCTTCTAGCATAACGAATTGGTAGGAGATAGTGTTTTGAATTCGTCGAAAGAAAGAAATAAGGGACTTGAATGTGACTGACAAGTTTATGATATCTTTCCATGTGTATCCTCTTTGTTGATATAAGTAAAAAAAACTTGGGCACTGTGGTGGCAGAGTATAACTCCATTATGGATATTTGTTGTTTTGATAAATCACACAGTGTGTTATACAGTAAGTAATATTTACTGATGCCACCACGTTTCGAGCACAATTTATCATAGCCACTCATAATCATATCAAGTCGGTCACTCACACAACTTTCTTGCTTCATTTATATACATGAGGAAAAGTTGATGATTAAACATCTGAATAAAGTCAATATAAGATAAAGTACATTCAGAAATAATATTAGTGCTATTGTAACAACAGAAGACAAGGGCCAGGCAACAGAACGTTTATTACGGAAAATCAACACGTATTTATAGATTTTGATGTACATTATTGTAGGTTAATGTTAGTAGAAAATACAGTCTGTTGATTGGTTGTTTCTCACACAAAGTTGACCTTGCATCTCTTGTGGCTATGTCAGTTCATCTATATGTTAACTGTATCCGCCTGTCCATCTTGACCTTGACCTCAATTCCTGTCAACCAATTTGGCCAGCAACCATCTCTCACCACACTATCAATCAAATACAATAAGATGGGAAATAAGATGCTTTTATAGTGTGAATTGAATACATTTTAAGATTATTTATTATCCTCCTCTGATTTCACTGACTGGTGGTAATAATATCTTCCATATCTCTGGTATTTGCATTGAGTCCCTTTTATTGCACGTGTTGTGTTGGGTGTGTAGACTCGATGAACCAAGCAGGATTCAGTAATCAACCTCTCTCTATCTCCACCTGCCTATATTACTTCTTAGAATTTTAACCCTCTCCCACCCTATTGTGTGGTTGTGTGTTAATGTATGCAGTGCAATCGCTGAGCTTTTTTCTAAATCACTTATCTTCACCGAATCAATCATTCTAGCCTTAGCTAAATTCTTATGTTGTGACAGGCGATCTCCCTAATTCTGATCTACTAGTTTGACCCATACAGTTGACTCAACTCAGAGTCATTACAAGGTATTTTGTAAATTGTGTCATTTTGTTTAATTAGGTCAACCGACCGGGTCCTTTAGCCTACAGAGCTTGTCTCTAACTGAGTGAGTTTGTAGGTTTGAATGCCACTCTAATTCCTGCTTTACTGAGAATCCAACGTAGTGTCTTCAATGTCCCTTCCTTATATGGTAAAACTGTATATAGATGCCTTATATTCTTTTTTATTTATGTTATCATTATTAGTTTCACAAGTTATGTATTCATTTTACTATAAAAACATTTTATTTCCCATCTGATTGTATTTGATTGATAACACTAATATTATTATTTCCGAATGTACTTCATCTTATATTGATTTTTTTCAGATGTCTAATCGCATCAATGTTTACTCATGTATGTAAATGAAGCAAGACAGTTGCGTGATTGAGTGCCTTGATATGATTATGAGCAGTGGTAATGATAAATTGTGCTCGAAGCTTGGTGGCATCAGTAAATATTACTTACTGTATAACAACACACTGTGTGATGACTTTATCAAAATAACAAATCCTATCCATAATGGAGTTAACCTCGTTGCTCTTCACTAATATTCCCATTGATTGAGACAACAGTGGATTGCATATGTGATGAAATTATTAAGGCGAAACAAAGGCAAGACAACAGCACTCCCGCATCCTCCATAAAGAAGGAATTTATTTCACAACGTACAATGAAATTTTAAAAAATTATTTGACAGTAGAAAAAGAACTCTGTACTATGTGTATGCCTTTATTTCGATAATATCTTGTATACACAATAAGGTAATATGCATAAGAATAAGGATTAACAACTAAAAAAAAAAGAAAAAAAAGCCGACTACATTCTCGTACAGCTCAATTTAAAAAGGATTCGGTTGAGGCAATCGATATTCACTAAGGAATAATTCAGAGTCATAATAACAAAATGTTTCATGTTTATAATATTCAGGGACTTTATAGGTAGCACCAGCTTCAGTTGACGACAATTTACTGTCTGCTTTGGTAGGTTTTACAGCTAAAATTTCAATTTTTTTTAAAAAAAGAGAAAGAGAAATGAACGATTAAATGTTTGGGAATAACGTATAAACTTACCTTTTTCAATTGTGGTGTCTGTTGTAGTAGTCGATTTTGTCGGCGGTGTCGTGGCAGTCGGTGTTGTCGTTGTACTTTTTGTTGCATAAGTCCCACGTAACGTATGTCCGGTGATGCATTGTCTATTCAAGACATTGAACAGTTGAATACGATTCATTGAATCACTAGAAAGAATAAGAATTATTTATATGTATGGCTTCAAACTTTGCTCACATCAAGATAGAACACTAGCCAGTAACTAGTATCATGTGTGTCTAGTCCATTCTTTGGTGCGGACTGAATTCTATCAGTCAGTCTGGTTTGAAATGTGACCACCATTCTAGGTAGCTCGCTAACACAGTGGGCATCGATTTGATGATATTAGATGATGGTTGGAGGCAATCGGCAGGAAGCCCTACTTCACCTAGGTTTCGTGCTAGTTGACACTCACCAGTCAGTCAGCAAGGCGTATCTGCAACCTTGAAGGAACTTATGTCACTTCTGAGTGCCAACTAGCGCGAAACTTAGGTCCAAAGTTGGGCTGCCTGCAGATTGTCTCCAACCATCATCTAATATCATCAAATCGATGCCCACTGTGATGGCGAGCTACCTAGAATGGTAACCACATTGCAAACCAGACTGACTTATAAAATTCAGTCTGCACCAAAGAAAGGACTAGACAGACATATTACACTAGTTACTGACTAGTGTCCAATCAAAGTGTTGTTTTTATTGTAATGAGATAAAAACCAACACATAATGTCACTAAATAAGTTCTCTTCCCTCTTCTCTTTCAGAAAGAAACGCCGACGTAACTCTACTGGAGCACGAAGAGGACCGTTTTGGCTGGGCTTGTTATAAACGATGACAATTAGCTGTGTACCCGCTCACTTCAAGCTTTGCTTAGTAAAAATACACACACACACGCACATCTCTCACGCCCTCTTCGTCTTCTTCCTTTTTTGGTGGTGCCTGTCGCTATTGTGCACATTACAAATTGGTGTCGAAGAGGTGGGATATCTGTAAACAACATGGAAAATCTATCCGATGATGGTCTTTCCATCCAAGCTGTTCCCCTGAGGATTGTGCATGATATAACCAATCACATAACGAAGAAGTGACCTACCTACACGTTCGCGGTTGTCAGCGACAGTGTTTTACATTTCACCTGTTGATAACATGCTGTAAATTCTTCCATCGCTATTGGTCCAGTTTCTGCTTTACACATCATCGATATTACTGAGAAGTTAACCAGCCTATCTAGTGTATCACCACAATGCCTTTTTTGTATCGTTCAAAAATATTCAAAAGACAGATTTGCGAGAATTCACAAAGAACGATCTTAAGTAAGTATATCAACCAAAACCCCTACAAACCAATATTTGAATATCAATGAGATGGTCACTGGCGACTGGCCCTATTCAGGTAGGTAGTTACTTGGGGTTCTAGTGGGAAGTCGTGACCAGTAGGGTGCAGCAGGTCGGGTGTGAGGACAAATACTCGCCGAAGACATTGGCTAGCGGTTGTGCTATATCGTCAATTGGCAGAAGTTAGAATTCATGCAGTGGCCATTGGATCGGGTCCCAGTGGCTCAATGGTATACGAGCTCTCCTTGTAACCAGAAGGTCCTAGGTTTGAACTCCGGTGGTGGGTGCGTACTGATGAAGAGTCCCAAACTAGGACAAAACAGCTGGCCAGTGGTTCTCTAACCAATGTCAGCTCATGATGAAATCCTGTAACTAATCAACTAAATCCCTACAAACCAATACTTGAAAATTCTACTCTACTTTCCCTGAAATTTTAGCCTCAACACTGACGACATCTTGGAGTGTTACCGAAAAAAAAGATTTCCAAATTAGATATAGGTTTGAATGTAGTGTCAATTCAAAAATTTATCTTACAGGGATAAAGAGTTTTAAAAAATGCTAAAATAGAAAAGAGTTGAGAAGTAAAGCTCTGAATAAAACATGTGTAATTTTCGTTTCGATGCAGAAAAAGGACATATCCCTTTAAATGTGGAGAAACGTTATTCAGACAATGAAATTAAAGCTGGAAGTGAGCGGATACAGAGCTAATTGTCATTGTTTATAACAAGCCCAGTCAAACGGTCGGTCCTCTTCTTGCTCCAGTGAAGTTATGTTAGCGTTTCTTTCTGAAAGAGAAGAGGAAAAAGCAACTTATTTAGTGACATTATGTGTTGGTTTTTATCTCATTACAATAAAAACAACACTTTGATTGGACACTAGTCAGTAACTAGTGTGATGTGTGTCTAGTCCTTTCTTTGGTGCAGACTGAATTCTATCAGTCAGTCAGATTTGCAATGTGGCCACCATTCTCGGTGGCTCTCCATCACGGTGCACTCTGAATTGTCCATGTTAAGTGGTTAGAGGCAATCGGCAGAAAGCCCTACTTGACCTAGATTTCATGCTAGTTGGCACTCACCACTCAGCAAGATGAACTTTCTAGAATGGTGGCCGCATTGCAAACCTAACTGATGGAATTCAGTCTGCACCAAGCAACAAAGGATTAGACACATCACACTAGTTACTAGTGTCCAATCAAAGTATCCAATACAGTCCTACAGGATGTCAATCGTGAGACCGAATAACTCAGTGGTAACGTCTCTGACTGCAGCCCCACTGGGTGACGCGGGTTTGAATCTTAGAATGGACATGAGTTCATTCAAGGCAGTTGTAGATACGCCTTGCTGACTGACTATTATTGTTATTATTATTATTGTTCCCTTGGGTTCCTAGTGGAACATAGGGCTTCAACTGCATGTCTCCACTTGCTTCTGTCTTCTGCTGTACTTTTCACTTGCGTCCATGTTATTCCATACTGTTTCATCTCCTCCTCACACGATCTCCTCCATGTCACCCTTGGACGTCCCACTCGCCGCTTCCCTTTAGGGTTCCACTCGAGGGCCTGACGCGCGATGTCACTCAACGGCCTCCTCAGCGAGTGAGCTGACTGACTGGTGAGTGCCAACTAGCACGAAACCTTAGTCAAGTAGGGCATCCTGACAATTGCCTCCAACCATCTAATATCATAGAAACAACACATCGGAGCAGTATGACAGTCACTGAGTGAATGAATGAGTGAATGAGTAGGCGGTGAACTGGGAGACGGTAAGGCGAACTGTACAACACACACTCACAAACACACACATACACCCATAGAGGAATGTGAAAAACCGATAAACAAGCAAACAAAGAAAAAAGGAGAACAGAAGAAAAAAAGAATAATTTTTATTATAACCCAGGATGTGATAAAAATTACAAATAATATGGTTTTTATTTTGTTTGCTGACGGACAAAGAAATCAACTTCACTTGAAACACAAATCATCAATTTTTGGGGGGAGAGTGGGAGGGAGAGGAGGATTCGATGTTTATTGTTTACAAAATAAACAAATATGAATAACACTCAATCACTGAACAATAATAATAATAATAAAATCACCAATAAAATGAAGTATATACTATCTTAAAGACTTTTTCCTTTGCAATACATATATATGTGTATATATAGACATGTGGGAATATGGGAATAATAAGAACAGAAGAAACAAAGTGTAGATCATCAAGATTAAAGAAATGAAATTTATCGTGCAAAACGGAAGACATAACTACGTGCAGTATCATGAAATGCTTCAGGATCACGTAGATATTGTTCAGCAGCAGTTGTATTCAATGCATCATTAAAATCGCATAAATCAGAGAACAGTGATTCAATGCCCCAGACAACATCAAGTAAACGTCTTGTTGGTGCCCAACCAGAAAAATCTAATGAACTTTGTCGTAGTAGACTCAAGCAGACACGTCCAGCCTCATCGATATTTGGATGCCATATTTGTGTTGTACAATGAACTAGTGGGGGTGTATGATTATACCCTTCTGGGACAATAATATTAAAGTGATAATTTCCATCAGCCCATATGCCTTCATTAGGTCGTACAATTAGTGTGAATTCATGAAGTTTATTTGGATCTGGATGATGAATTGTACACTGGGAGGATAAATTATTTCTTAACTCTTGTAATTCTTGTAGAACAAGTCGATCACGTATAGTAGCATTACGTACAGAAGCTGATTGGACAGCATCTGGTTCTGAACTGGTAATACCACTTTGTCGTTGACGTATTTTATCTGCTAAACGAATCATATCATCTATATAAAAAAATATATAATTAAAATTATGACATCATGTATAAAATAAATAGCTCAAAAAAAGAAAGAAATGCAGTGAAACAGTTTGAATTATACTTTAACGCATTATCATAAACAACCTCCTACTAGGTGAAGATGCTGACTGATGAAATGCAGAGTCTTCTAAACACCTTGAGGAGCGGAAATCTTCGAATATTTGACATGCGACTGGCGCACTCCCCTCAAATGTAAGGTGATGCTACAGGACTGGACTGGACTACATTGACTCATTCCTAGCTTAGAGATAGGCAAGAGTGAAGTGGTTGGCGAAGCGTACTGTTCACTTTACTTATTTGGGAAGTTGCATCAGTTGCAGAGCGTTGACCGCTGGAGAAATCTCAGCACCGATACACGAGGTTCGTTTGGCATTTGTCAGATAACTGACGCCATCTCTAGCTTGGTAGACGTGATATTTAGCTGGCTGGCTATCGATCAAACGACGTGTATACTGCTCAGCTTACACTATGTTGTAGGTCTTTTGGCAAAGTCCTACTGGTGGCGAATAGGGAAGTATAACAGTAATAAAGTGTTTCTCTTAGATGAGGGAGGGTTACAAAAAGGCCGGTCCCAAAAGGTATGAGTCTCGGACTTATCTTGCGGCGGTCTGTAATCGGCGTTAAGATCTTAATGCGAAAACAACTCCAAAAACCAATTCAAACTGGCTCTGTGTGACTGACTGACTGATTTCAACATAGAACTACTTTGCACAGATATGCACCAGTGCCAGTTGCCACACTCCCTTCATGTACCACACATAACGCAAGAGAAGACAGTAGAGAGAGATTCAAATGAGACATGAAAAACAGAAGTGTGAATGAGTGAAAACGTATAGTAGGTAATATGGAGGAACAATAAAGTCCCATTGGATATGAGAAATCACAAACAGTGAATGAATGCATCTGCGCCATACCACAGACAACGATTTTGAGCCACATCACCAACTGTCTCCAGCCTTCATTGGTTCTTATCATCTCGAAGACCCCAACCAGTTAGGCAGTCTATAACTTACTATGTGACTGGTTGACTAACCACAGTGGGTTTCATTGACTGATGCCATATTTTGGTTTAACCACTACTAGCTAACTCTTTCCCAACCTGATCCATCCTATATCAGGTAACATTCTCCATCGAGGAAGGCGTTGGCTAGGCGTGCGTGTGTAACAGATGTTCTAATCGTCTCAATTGATGTAACTTCACAACCTGTGTGTGACTGGCTTCAAGCAGTTATCCCCTGGGCTTTGCTCTATAGTTATGCAACACTAATATTCCTCCTGTTTCAGATACCGCAAGAAGAAATCAACTTCCATGGAGTTAACAGGTGGGAAGTAATAACTGGCCACTTGCTTCTATAAGCACACAACGCTTTCCTAAAATCTCTCCACTCAGATAACCCAAAGAACATAGAAGAATAAAATTATCAACCAGTGCTGCATGTGTTTTTCATTATTATAAATTACAAACGGTAGACTGACCAGATAATTTATATAATTGTCCTTAGCAACGTTTAATATGAAAGTTAGTAAAAGCCGATCAAGTTTCCATATCTAATTGAGGATGCCATCAATAAACAAGCCTGTTAGGAACGATGAGCCTTTGAGACCTTTTAAGTGGTTGACGTGTTATTCAGTCACTTCATTCATTTTATCTGGGGGGAATACTTTTGCAAACCAATTTTGAAGTTACATTTCACATTTGGTAAACCACATTTGAAACACCTTTATACTAGAAGTGTAAGAGATCGAAGAGCTCTGTGTCTTCATAGCCTTCACCCAAGACTTTTGTCTATATTCACTGTAGCAACTACATACCTCTTATGATCAGAGAAAGGAATGAATAAACACGTCAATTAAAATAAATGGGTTGAACTTTCCTAATGGACACCGTTCAATATAAAACTCTTACATGACATCTCACCATAAATTCTAGTGTAAGTATAAAGCTTGAAATATTTCCCGCTTGTCAGGTACCCTTTTGAGTAAGCTAAATTCATATAGGACCTATCGACTGGTGGAGTGATATGTGTGTTTTCAACATAGAACTTTGCAACGGTGCGCAGTAGTTCCAGTTGCCAAACTTCACTCGGCACATAAAGCCACAGAAGAAGAAAGTAAAAAGAAGCGCAAAATAGAGACAGTAAACAGAGATATGAGGCAAAAAGAATAGTAATATCGAAGATCAATATAGTTTCACTGGAAATTATAAGTCACAAGGAGTGGATGCATCTGCGTCAGTCATTGAGAACGATTGTCTCCAGCCATCATTGGTGTTTCCTGTCTCGAGGACCCTAACCAGGAAGTCTACATCTTCCTACGTGGCTAGCTTAAACTAACTTGTGGATTTCATTGACTGATGAGGCCATGTTTTGGTTTGACCACCGCTAGCTCCTTTCCAGCCTGACTCTATGTCAGCTAACATTGCCCGTCAGTCGAGGAAGGCGATGACTAGGCATGCGTAACACATGTCCTTACCATCTCAATCGATGCAGTTGCTTCACAGCCTCGTCGATTGATTTCCACTCCTTATCTAGCAATCGACCAAAGCCTAACCTTAATATTGCTCACCCTATTACACCTACCACTTAACACGGGAGATAGAACGCAGGCACCTATGATCGAAGACAGCTAGCTGGCCTTTTCACGTCTCCCACTCTCAATGGCTAGGTCTCACTCACAGCCATAAAGGAGGACGCAGCGGACTGCTGAGCAGTACACACGCCTTTTGGTCGATGACCAGCCGGATACCACGTCTAAGCCAGAGACGGCGTAAACTGGCATACGCTAAACGTGCTTTCTGTATCCGTGCTGAGATTTCGTCAGCGATCAACCCGTTGGCGTTGGCTGATGCAACTTCCCAAATATGTGAAGTTGCAGTGGAGTCATATAACATTACGAGATACAATTAATGTTGAGAACGGAGTGAAGTTTCAGTACTAGATAGAAAACCAAGATTTAGTCAGTAAATTTACGGCTAAAGCTGAAACATGTCTTGCATTTTCAAGGTTGCCATTCCTAATACTAGCAAAAATTCGCACAGTAGTGGGGTCTGGAAACTACATTATTCAAGCTAATTTCTGATAGGTTAATTCAACAGTGCAAATTATTGACTACCCCACCTTAAAAGTGAAGAGACAAGTAATTCTGTGAAAATCAGGGGGATTGGCTTAACTAACATAGTATCTAAAATCTCAAATTCAATAACCATGAGTAGACTAAGCGGCGCTCGCGAGAAACAAACCAGTGAAAACTAATCTTTATGTCAGGAAAGGGGAGTATTGAGTATATATTCACTCATTAGGAAATTTAGGTCTAGTTGCCGACATTCAACACTTACTATACTATCTTACCTGAAGGCGATGTCTGACTCTGAATATTTAGCATAGGATTCGCATCTGTCGAATACACGATGATGCTTCAGGATTGGTCTGCACTAACTCATAGTTTAAAGATAAGGAGTTGCATCAAAAAAAATGGACTGATTACTGCTTTATGGTGTTTGCAAACTTATGTTATCTCTGGAGTAGATATTTAGCCATTTATCAAAGGACTTGTGTGATGCAACAATCTGACACGCCCCTCTCTTCACGGATATGAGATGTGACTGTTGAAAGTATAGGATGTGGAAGGGCTAGGTATTTTTTTACTGTAGGTGTTTGAGTCACATCTTCCGTGTTAAGTGATACAATACGGTGACTAATACTGAGATTAAACAGTATTATGTAAGGAGGAGAAGTCAGTAGATGAGATTATGAAGCGATATCGATTGAGATAGGTATGATATGTTACGCAAACCAAGAAATTGCCTTTTCCTACGATCAATGTGAGATGACATGAGAAGACAGTTAGTGGTGGTTAAACCAAAACGTGACATCAGTCCATGAAGTTTCTGACAGTCAGTTGGAGTCATGTAAGGAGATGTAAGCTGCCTGGTTGGAGTCTTAAAGACCCTAAGAATCAATGGTTGTAGACTGTTGGTGACATGACTCAAAATCATTCACAGTAATGTAGATGCATTAACCAAATTCCCATTATTCTCCACACATTCCTTCTTCGTACATTTCCGTTCATTACAGTTTCTCTTAAGTTTTTACTCTACGTTCGTGTGCCAGCCATGTGGAGTGCAGAAACCTGAACTGCTGTACTTTTGTTCAAAGTTCCACGGTGGAACCTCAGTGACTTATCCACTGAATAGTATCATCTTTTGAACCTCATTCTGGGAGTTGTGGTGTTTCAAAATATGCTAAACTAATATTACAACTACCATTTATTCCGAAGGCATCACATAGGATGAACACTTTTGTTTCTAGTAACGATGTTAGCCAGGGATGAGGAGTGTAAAAGCAGCTTAACTGTGTATAATGTATTCAGGATATTGACACGGATATTTTTGGAATGACAGCAGAAATCGAATTACTAGTTTCACTATGAGAAAACAAGTGATGCTGAACCTCAAAATCATCTATATGTTTGAACTACTGAGTACAAGTAATCTTACATAGGTGGAAAAAACAGTTGCAGCGTATCCTTAGCTAAGATGAGATTATAAAAGAATATAATAATAATAAGTACTTTCATTTATACTGACACTAACTGAAGTACTGCATTTCAATACAGTGGAGTGCACATTTCAACCTTATTGTACTTTAGCCTGTGCCACTTAGAAGTACCATAAAGAGCTCACACATCAAATATGACCCATAGACTGACTTTTAAAAAAAAAGTACAATTTTCCAAGGAAGTGCACTCGTTCAACTCGAGATACTTCGAAAAATCACACAAAGAAAGCGAAGGAAAACGCAATGTATGGGGAGAATAGTTAAGTGCAGATTAGTAAATATTTTCAGAATCTGGATGACAAGGATCGAATCTATCTTTGCAGCCACTGACTACTGAGCTTCCAACGTAGAACCTTCCAAGAAGTGCAGCAGTTCAAGTTGTTACACCCCATAGAGTACACAGA